TTGGTTTAGAGGTTTTGCAATTGCAGAGAAGTTGCAAATAAATTGGCGATAGTATCCTACTAGTCCTAGAAAAGATCGTAACTGGGTTATATTTTTAGGAGGTAGAATTTCTTGAACAGCTTCAATTTTCTGAGGGTCGGGGGCAATTCCTTTTGGTGAGATAATGTGTCCTAGAAATGGTAATCTTTGCATCCAAAAATTACATTTCTCAATATTTAATCGAAGTCCGGCCTGTCTGATTCTAGTAAAAACTTCTCGTAGGTGAACTAGGTGATCATCAAAGGTCTTGGAGAATACAATAGTATCGTCTAAGTAGACTACTACAAATCTCCATGCTATCTTGTCATAAACTCGGTCCATTAGACGTTGGAAGGTTGCAGGGGCATTACAAAGTCCAAAGGGCATGACATTGAATTCGTATGTTCCGTATCGGGTAACAAATGCAGTCTTTTCCCGGTCTCTGGGATGCATAGCTACTTGCCAATATCCACTAGCAAGATCTAAAGTAGAGAACCAACATGATCCGGCTAGAGTATTCAACATTTCGTCGATTCGAGGCAATGGGTAAGCATCTTTCTTAGTTATGGCATTTAGCTTTCTGTAATCTACACAAAAGCGTAGTTTACCATTTTTCTTTCTAACTAATACAATAGGGGAAGTCCAGGGGCTGTTCGATGGTTGTATTAATTTATTGTCTAGCATTCGTTGGATTTCTTCCTTAACGAATGTTTGTTCACTTGGAGGTATTGAATAAGGTCGAGAATTTATAGGGGGTACGTCTTCGGTATATATTCTATGAGTGACTAGGTTAGTTCGTCCTAGTTCATTAATGTCTGATGCAAATAGGTCTGCAAATTCTTCTAATAATTGTCTGAATCTTTTGCCTTTTTCTTCTGTAAGAGGTCCAATATTTAATGATGTTTCCTTAACAGTCGTATACTCTTCATAAGGGATAAGAGTATCGATAGTATACACAGGTGTAGGAATGAGAGTCGAGTTATAAATGTCTGGGTCCTCAGGTAGTTTTTCATCTTGCCTGGGATTATTTAAAAATTTGGTAACTCGGTAAGGGCAGCATATTGGGCAGCGCGTTGGTGGGCGTATTGGTTGTCTTCTCTCCACATCTGTATAAGTTGTTGGTTAAAGGTCTCGAGGGCTTCAACCTTTTGTTGCAGTTGTCCGATTAGTTGACTTTGGTGAGCTACTTGCTGTTGTAGTTGTAGCATCACTGATAATGAAATGTCTGGTTCTGGAGAAGTGATTGGAGGACTAGAATTTATTTCTACTAGAGGAGTAGCAGGTCGGGTTTCTGGTAG